TATGAGAATAATGCAATATTAACTTGTTTTATTCTGAGTATTTGAGTTCAAAACTCCTGTATCTGAAGAAATACTGTTGGGGTTCATTAATAAAGGAGATCTTTCTATCTTAAAGGGCTATGTGGGGCTTTGGCTTGTCAATGCCTGTGGCCTCGCCCTGGAAGGGGTGTTGGGAGTCACAAGTGTAAGCGGGGTAATTACTGTATGTCAGAGCAAATTACTTCTGCTCATCTGTGTCTTGGGGCTGAGGTGGGGATGCTGTGCGTGGGTCTAGGACTGAGTATCCTCTTGCATTATAGAACTCCTGGGTTGCACAGAGCAGGATTCTCCTACCCTGACACCCTCCTTCCCCCTAACTAGGCCTGGAGGTCTCTGCCTCCACCCAGACCAGAAAAAAGCCATCCACCATTGTCCCTCAGCCCTGGCTGGATACTGGGGAGATCCCTGAGGAGGGAGAGAGCACAGCTCCCCAGGTCCTCTTGCCCACAACAAGCAGAGTGGATGGCATCCAGTTAAGTGAAATAATTTATATAATTATAAGACATTTTCATACAAAACCCCAGCCTTGGTCCCCAGATGGTGGGGGCAAAGCAGGGCAGGCTGGAAAATTACAAAGCACGCACTGGAGAAGGGTGGTGAGACCCATCTCCCCCATCCCTCTGTACACAAGCCACCTGGCAGAGCCAGGACACCATCCCTCAGCACAGCTCCTAGCGATCGGGGCGCTGGACGCAGAACACTTTGGCTTGGTGGTCACCGGAGGTCGTCACCACAATGGAGGCGTCCCTGGAGGGGGAGACAAAGCTCAGTGATGGGGGCTTCACGCATCCTGTGCCCACAGCCCAGCCCAGCCCTGATTTGCTCCACTTCCCCTTCGAGACCCTCAAGTCTCAGCATGTTCCCAAGTCTCCTTTCCCCCTCATCACCCAAGCTCCCCGTGCCATCTGAAGGAGAGAGCTTGTGACTCAGGTTCCTGAGGTCTGGAGCCCCTGCCACCCCTGGTCCCTCCACCCAGCGGCCTTCGGGGAGGGGAGGGGTCTGGGGGTTCCCCTCTCACTTGTTGACGGCGAAGTCGAGGATTTCGGCTGAGTGCCCTCGGTACTCGTTGATCATCTTCCCCGAGCGGGCATCCCAGAGCCGCACGGCCCCGTCCAGGCTGCAGGTGTACACCACGGCCGAGTTCTCCTCCCACAGCAACTGCACAATCCCGGACTGTGGGCACAGGGAAGCCGTGAGGTCAGCACTGGTGCCCCCCAGCACAGTCCCAGCTCCCCTCCACGTCCTCCCCTCAGTGTTGTCCACCATCCCCACAGATAGGAGAGCCACCCTCCCAAGAGCCAAGCTACAGGGCATGTCCTCTACGCAGGGACTGTGCTGGCCTTCAGGGAAGCCTAAGGGGCTGAGGGAGAAGCACAAATTGGAAACTGGCCCCAGGAAAGCCCCTGGGCTCTGAGGAAAGGCTTGGATGGGTCCAGACACACACACCCCCTCACCCCCAGGCCTGGGGAGAGCAGTACCTCGTGTTGGCACTTATGCCTCAGGCTCTGTGTGGAGAGGTCATAGATAGCCAGCGTGCCATCCAGGTAGCCCACAGCAGCCAGCGGCATCCTGCAGAGACAGGAACAGGCATTACATGGGCCTGGGGGAAGCAGTGATGGAAGCACGTGAAGGATTAGGGTTGAAGGCAAGGCGCATTGAGAAGATGAGGAACACCCCAATGATGGGAGCCATGAAACACCTCAGCTCAGGAAACCAACAGGACAGTGAGACCCAGCAAGAGCCCAAGGTTCACAAGGGAGAAGATGCTGTCTTGGTAGGAAAGATCCCCAGCAGCCGCGTCTGGAGGGTATCCCAGCCAAACAGTGGTCCATGAGGCCAACTAGAGACCTGATGGGCTGGGGGTAGGACTGATCAGCTGATGTCCCTTGTCCTCCCTGTCACATACAAGTGACCCAGGATACCCACAGCCAACTGGGGAGGATGAGGGTGAGGGCAGAAGGAGCATGAGGGATGGAAACAGGTCTGTTAGTAACAAACATCCCCCACCCCTCCAGTTAAGGCCTGGCACTGAAGAGGGGCTGTCACACCCCGTGTCACCCCGTGCGACGTGTCCCCACACTCACACGTTGCAGAAGCCCAGCGACTCCACTGAGGTGGACTCAGCCTCCTCACCCTCACCGGCAGGGGCCTTGGGGGCCATGTTCTCCATCTTGAACACGCACACCACCTGGGTGGAGGGAGGCACAGGGGAGGGGAAGGGGACACACAGTCACACCGAGGTCCCCTTCCTCAGCTCTTCAGAGCAAACAAGGGTGGAACGTTCTTCTGCCAACGGGACCACCCCGGCTACCGGTCCCACCAGCAGCTGCCAGGAAGCAGCTGTGTTGGCCAAGGGTGCCTCCTGCTGGCCCCCGGTGGCTACCACAGGCTGCTCCAGGCCGGCAGAGCCCTGAACCACCCGGAGACACCGGCCTGGCCCGGGACAGGAGGTTGGGAGGCCAGTCCCCTGTCTCCCAGGGCTCCTGGCTCTGCCCCCACCCACACGGACCCACCTTGCCCGTGGCGGAGTTGACCAGCTTGGCGTGACAGTCCACAGAGCCCGTCATGATCAAACTGCCGTCCTGGTTGCTGGCCACACACGTCAAGGGGTCCTGGTGGCCGTCCTGGCCTGGGGGGCAAACAGGAGAGGTGTGAACTCCACATGTCCTCCCTGCGGAGGCCTTGAAACCCACCCTCCTGCATCCTCCACCTTTCTCAGCTCTGCCAGCACCCCTCTAGCAAGGGGTGGCCACCTGTGGGGACAGGGAATCCCAGCATCCCTCCAATCCCTCTGGCAGCCCCTGACCTCGGAGGGTGGCACCTCTCCATCCAGGCAGAGGTCAGAGCCCCACTGGAAAAGGCTGTTCTCCAGGTAGGGTGCACCCCAGACGATGAACATCTTCCCTACCTTTCAGGACGTGCAGCGAAGTTCCCTGCTTCAGGTCCCAGATGCGCATGGTCCCGTCCTCGTACCCCACCACCGCTCGCTTCCCTGGGTGAGACACAGCCAGTGGCTAGAGCTTCAGCTCCCCCGGCCCCTCCACCTCCCGCTCCACACAGACTGGCAGAAGCAGGAGGACAGAAGGTGGCAGCGGGATCTGTCACAGAGCTGGTGACATTCCCCACCCCGGGCAGCCCCTGTGACTCACCGTCTGGCAGGATCCTGCCACACGTGGCTGGGCACGCAGGGCCCTGGAAGGTTTTGCAGTCTCCACTGGGGATCTTCCACATCCAGGAGTTGCCATCAGCTGTGCCCGCCAGAAGGACGTGGGCTTGAGGGTGCCACTCCATCCACTGGGCAGAGAGACAGTGTCACAGGGGTGGTGGCATCCCCACCACCACCACCCAGCTAAGTCCCAGCTGCCAGCCTACGAGCTCCCCAGGGCACCAGGGCAGGGTCCCACCACTTACTTACCTCCAAGTCCCCCACCTCGAAGGACCATACTTCTTCCTTGGTGTCCACCCGCCACACTTTGATAAGCCCAGACATGTCACCCGTGGCCACAAACACAGAGTCGTGACTGAAGCCAGCACAGGTGACCGAGTCCTTGTGTCCTAGAGACAGTGGGGGACAGAGACTGCTCAGTCCAAGCTACAGAAGACAGCCAGGAGCCTGGTTCCAGCAGAGCAGCGGTGGGGAAAGAGTGTGTCTGGAGAGGGGACACGGCCTGGGGCACCTCACCTGAGCATTCGAACAGCAGCTCTCCGTCACTCACACGCCACACAAAGGCCTTGTCGTCCTCCCCGCCTGTCACCGCCAACGTGTTGGTCTTGGGGTCGAGGCTCACGCAGAAAACAGAAGCTTCACAGAAGAATAAAGAGAGGTTACGTGGTGGCTTGGATGCTGCTCACGCCCCACCCAACGTTCCCAGGGGATCCACATCCCATGCGGCACTGGGTCTGGGTGGGATGTCAGCGAGCTGACAACCCAACCCAACCCAGTGGAATCAATCCTGCCCATGGGGGAACAGCAGGGCAGGCTTCCTTCCACGGTAGGTGGCTCAAGGGGCTTCTCTACCAGACTGCAAGCCAGAAATGAGCAAAGCCCAAAGCATCACAGCCCCAAGGTGCGACAGCTGTCCCAGGAACGGCCGGGAGACATCAGCCTGGCAAGGACCTGCTGCACCCCCGTACTCTGGGGAAAGTCAGGGTGGGCGCAGGTCCCGGGGGACACCCCAGCTGCCGCTGCCCATGCCCGCTGCTGCTCACCCGAGTGGAGGGAGAAGGTGACCTCGCTGTCGTCCTGCGCCTCCATACCGTCCTCCACCCCTTCATCATCCTCTGTCTCCCAAGCCTCGGCGTCAGGCTCTTCTGCCCCCTCCTCGTCGAAGTCCACGTCCTCCATCTCATCGGCCAGGTCATCTGCGGAAGGCAAAGGTCAGGACGTGGCTCCCGGCCCCTTCCCGGGCAGGCGGCGGCGGCGGGCACGGTGGGTCCTCGGGGGTCCCCGGGGGACCGGGCAGCAGCGGTAGGGGGGGACGCGCCATCCCGACGCCGCTGCGGCCGGGAGACCCGGGGCAGAGGAGCGTGCAAAGGAGCAGGGAGAGGCCGCGGTCCCTGGGGAGGGGGGAACTGAACGGGCCGGGCCCCAACGGCCGGGCCTACCGCTGGGACAGGGCCGGAGCGGGCCCGCTGCCCCGGCGGAAAGCGGGAGCCCTCCCCCCGCAGGTCCTGCCCGGTGCGCGGCGCGGGAAGGCCCCGTCTCACCCGGCCCGGGGGGTCCCAGCTCCACCACCTCGATGATCTCCTCGTCGCCATGGAAGCCCAGCGCCCCCGGGCCCTCGGCGGGCTCCATGCCGGCCTCCCCGCGCACCCCACCCCGCCGCCGCCACTTCCGCTGCTCGCCCGCCTTGGCCAATCCCTGCCCGCCGCCCTCCCCGCCTCAGCCAACCCCGTCCCGCGTCCTTACCTGGACCCCGCCCCTTCCGCCAGCATGGTAAACTGACCCCCTTCCCCGCCAGGTGCCTTCTGGGAGTCGTAGTTTCTCGCGCGCTGCCAGGTCTGCGCCGCCGGCCGGCAGGCCGTGCGCGGCGGACTGCAGCTCCCGGCATGCAGCGGGGCTGCGGCGCGACGGCACCATGGCGGCGGCGGCGCTCGGCGGACTGCGTGGTAAATGCAGGCGGACAGGCGGCGGGGGCGGCCCCGGGGCAGGGCGGGTCGGGGGGTCGGGATCGCCGTTACCCCTCACCGCACGGGCCCCCGCGGCCTCCGGGACGCGCTTAGGGCCGGCCCCGCCCCGCCCGTGCGAGGAGGGGTCTTAGGCCCACGCCCCTGCTGCGCTTGGCCGCGCCCTCTAAGCCTCATAGAGCCACGCCCCCTCTGCGTTGACCACGCCCCCACGGCTCCGGGCCCGCCCTCGAGCTCCCCCTAGCGGCGGGGCAGGGGGACGGCACGGGCAGGACCCTCAGGCTGGTCCCCCCAGCACGCTGCACCATGGCCGCCCCTCATTAACCCCTCTCTCTCCACAGGGCTGCTGGCGGCAGCAGGACCAGCGGCGGGTGGTGCCAGGCTGGCCCCCCTGGGCACACGGCTCCTGGGGCAGAGCTGCCGCCGGCCAGCGGGGCCACGGGCCAGCCCAGAGCCCAGCAACGAGGGGCTCCCCGAGGGGGTGGAGTACATCCCCACCCGCAAGAAGGGCAAGAACCCGATGAAGCCGGTGGGGGTGGCCTGGTGAGTGGGGTGGGGTGGTGGGAGAGGCTCGGCACTGGGAGGCTCCACCGTGGCCCAGGGTGGGACAGGGGGTCCTTGGTTGTGGGGGGCTGTCTGCCACCCCAGGGTGGCACACGGGGCCCTTGTTTCCCTGCCGGGTCTCTCCATCTCCTGCCCACCGGCTGTCCTGCAGGGCCATCGGGTTGCCCTCCGGCATCATCCTCTTCCTCCTGGTCAAGCGGGAAGTGGACAAAAGCCGTCTGGAGCAGCTCAAAATCCGCCGGAAGATGATGGAAGCCAACCAGGGCGAGTACGAGACGGAGCGATACAAGCGTGTGGCCAGGGGGGCATAGCTGGCCTGCCCCCCACCCCGAGCCTGGCACTGTGGCACCCTGAAGGGACTGGTCAAGGGGATGTCAGCCCCGTGGGGCAGTCATGGAGAGAAATAAACCTCATCCTTGGTGAGTGGAACAGCTCAGTGCAGTGACACTGCAGTCACTCCGTCAGTCCCAGGCCCTGCCTGTCCCCACAATGCAGGGGGGGCGCGGGGGGCAGCTGTTCCACAGCCAGGATCCTGCCCACGAGGAGGCCAGGGGGAGCAGCAAGGGGGAGGCAAGGCCTGGAGCAGCTCGACCTTGGCTTTTCCATCCCAAAGCAGAGTTTGCACTGCCCCAGGCCGCAGCCCCCGCTGAGACTGCCTACTTGTTTTTCGGGGGAGTCGCCACACCAGTAAGATTGGGGCCGTCTGGAAAATTAAACTGTTTTATTTAGCAAGTATAACTTTGCCAGCAGCTGTGGCTGTGGGCCCTCTGCGACGTGAGCTCTGCCACGAGTCCCACCATGGGGGTCCCAGCTGCCCCCCCGCCCGCACCAGGCACCGCCACAGCTCGGGGAGGGGGGGGCACAGCCAGAGCCGCGTTTTAAGGCACCAAGTGAATGACACCGACCGGGCTCTGCCAAAAAAAAAATCCCAACACGATCCCAGTGGCTGCTGCCAGCTCCCCAGGCCCAGGCAGGACCGTGGAGCTCTGCTGCCAGCCCAGCAAACAGTGCTGAGGCCAAGCACTGCCTAAACGCCGGCAGACGGTCCCCCCCACTGCCCTCAGGGGCTTGTAGGGGAGTGATCAAGGGAAGCCCTTTCCTTTGCAGCCTACGGGTAGGGATGCCGAAGCGTTAGGAATCACGGTAAGCGGCCGTATCCTGTACAGAGGCCAGAGGAGGGAGTGAGGGACAGCAGGGTGGGGGGACATGGGACACTGGAGGGGTCCCAGGGCTAATCCCGGCCCACGATCTGCAGCATGAAGGTGAAGATGTAGATGATGTCAGTGTAGATGGTGAGGGCACCGTAGACGTATTCCTCAGGGCTCAGCGTGTTCTTCCTGTTCCCCAGAACAAGCTGGGTGTCATAGGCAAGGAACTGGGGGGAACAGAGGATGTCAGGCAAGGGCCCAGAGGCGGGGAGGGGGGGTTCCCTGCCTGACACCCTCTGCCCACCCCAGCTGTCAACTCACCAGGGTGAAGGCGATGGCACCGATGGCCGCATACAGCATGTGGAGCCAGGGGACCTGCGCAGGGAAGGGGACACGGGGAGGGTGAGCTGGGTGCTGGCAGGCAGCGGGCAAGGCAGGGCAGGTCCTGGCTCCCGAGGAGATGCCACTGATGCTGACGCCGACGCACCCTCTCCCTGCGGGCAAGCTGCCTCTGCCGTGGCCAGCACCACCCTGCTTCCCAGCAAAGGGGGACCACCCAAACCCCCCTGACCATACCAGCCCTGGGGACACCCAACTGGGGACAGTCGTGGCACACCACAGCCCCTCTACTCACATATTTGAAGGAGAGGACAATGGCAGTGACGATCCCGGTCACCATGACCACAATACCCAGCACGCAGAAGAGCCCCGGGCATGACGTAAAATCAACCTGCCAGTGGGACACACACACACATCACAGAGAGCCCAGCATGTCCCCACTGCCCAGGTCCCTGTGCCTGAACCCCCACCCAGGGCAGGGCACATCCCCCTCCTTGCCTTGGTCTGGAAGCAGAAGATGGTGACAATGATGGCCACGATGGCAGTGATGAGCATGGCAATCAGGACGGCACTGGTCTGGTACATGCTGCAGACAGAGAGGACAACAGAGTCACCCCCTGCTTGGTTACTCCCCAGTCCCAGGCAGGGACCCCACTGTCCCCGAGCCCAGGGGACCAGGGTGTCCCCCAGCTCCTGGCAGCCTCTCATTTGAGATGGCTGCACGGTGGGGGCCAGGAGGGACCCCAGCTCCTGTCACTATGGGGTCCCCAGGGCTTACCTGGCGATCGTTCCCGTCATCAACCCCATGGCGAGCGTCTGCAGGAGAGAAGGGTGGGCTCAGTGGGGCGAGCGGCACCATTCAGGGCTGCCCCCCACTTCCCCACACGTCCCCCCTGTCCCCCCCAGCCCGCCTGGGGAGCTGGGGTGCCATGGGGGCACCACCAGCCTCCCCACCCACCCCCCAACCAGCCCTGGCCCACTCACAAAGATGCTCAGCAGGATGATGTTCCAAGGGAAGCGTCTCCTGAGGATGAAATGAGGGGAGAGAGGTGAGCGGGTGACAATGGCCACATATCCCTCTGGTGTCCCCCTCCCGGGGGCAACCCCTGGCAGGGATGCCTCCCCTCCCCATCCACACCCTCCCACCCCGGGGGTCCCAGCCACCAGCGACTCACCGGGGACCCTGGCAACAGGCCAGCACCAGGTATGTCACCAAGAACACGGCACTACAGAGAGAGACGACAGGTGTCAGCCCTGCAAACCCCCCACTGGGACCCCCCCTGGGCTGGGAGGCTGTGACTGTGGGGTGCTCCTGGAAGGCACCCCTGGGGAGCATGAACCAGGGGACCCCCTACTCACTACGAGGCATAGTAGACAGCGACGTTCTTCCGGACAAAGGAGCGGACAGGGGAGCTGTGGGACAAGAAGGATGGGCATGAGGGAGGGGAGACAGCTATTGCTGTCCCCTCGGGACACCCCCAGGGGACATGGGGTGCCAGGCTCCCCAGTTTTTTGGGGCAAGGCTAAGGAGGGACCCTCCACTCACACAAAGGTGAAGACAGCGATGATCCCCACTGTCACCAGAAGCTGCAGAGAGATGATGGCATAGACCTGCGAGAGACAGCGGGGGTCAGCACCCAGCCCCCATCCTGACAGATGC